ATATATATATATATATATATATATCATCTTTTTTTAAGATACTTCCATTACATTTTCTGTAAACCTCTTCCTATTTTCATTTTTGTTTATTAGATATCAGTAAGAATCTCACCGATACGAAAAATTGAAAAAATAAATTCAAAAGTAAGTAAATTTGATATATTTGATTTTTCGCTAAGATTAAAATGTATCATGCTTTATATTTTCTTTATATTTCTATCTCTGAAAGCCTCTTCTTATGAACCGACATAACCGAAAAATTTATATATATATATATATACATTAAGAGATAAATAAATTCGTGAAATTCAATGAATAGATTTGATATACTTTTTTTAAGATACTTTCATTAATATTTTCTGTAAACTTCTTCCTATTTTTATTTTTGTTTTATCGAATATCAGTGAGAATATCATTGACATGATCAAAAAATTGAAAAAATAAATTCAAAAGTAAATAAATTTGATATACTTTTCGCTAAAATTACATCTCGGTCTTTTCTTATGAACCGACATGACTGAAAAATTGGCATACGAAAATATCTATATCGAGATAAATAAATTCACATAAATTTGATATAATTTTTGTTTCTCTATAATTCTCTTCTATATTCGTACCACCGATATACTAAAATAGAGATAAATAAAACGTATTTCTGCAAGCCTCTGCCCATTCTTATCTCCGACACGACCGAAAAAAACTAATACGCGTAAAAACGTGTAACCCGACACGTTCGCTTGAAATAACAACAAATAGTTATATTCTATTCTCAAGGTTAAAAATAAACCATTCGCGTGCCTCTTGAACGCCCGTGTAAGCAAAACCTTAAGAAAGCTTTTACTTCGAAATGCATCGCCACTTGAAGAGGTTATGAAGGAAAAAGGAGTTGGAAATTCGCGACACGTGCAATCTTTGCATCAAGATGGCGGAACGCGATAACCGACCTATTTTTCCCCAACTTTCGATGCAACTTTTGGGGGAAGGGGAGGGGGAATATATATATATATGTATATATATGTATATGTATATATATATGTATATATATATATACACACAAAATATATCCTCGGATTTATTTTTGTATTTTTATACGGACCTCCCCCTTCCCCCTAAAAACACCCCTACTATCTCGTGTACTATCTTTGCCCCGTAACAAATAACAACAACAAATAACCACCTATCCCCCCTCTCTCCCCCCTCCCCATCATTTTCCAGTGCGTTCTTTTCGGCACGTTCATGATATGGTTCGCGAGCATCACGATCAACCTGGGCCCAACGTTTCTGAGCGGCGCACTTGCCGCGAACACTGAATCGGGTCACAACGCGCCGAGCTGCCCTCTTGTGCACGGCCCGTTCCGCCATTACATATTAAACGTCCTTTGGATCGCCATCAACATGATCTGCGTCGCCCTCACCCTCATCCATCTCAGGAAACTGCACAAAGATTTGACCAAGGCGAACGTCGAAGCGGTACGTATTCCTCCCCCCCCAGTTGGCAAGCTTTTGATTTCTCATCGCAAGTCGGGGATCGCATGCATCATCGTCTTTTTTATAGCTGCACGTGGCGACGCCATTTCGCCCAATCTACATGAGGGGGGGATGAAAGTATCGTTGTTGTTGTTGTTGTTTTTGTTGTTTGTCGAGAGATGATTTGCAGATTCGATTGAATTAATATTTTTTTTTTTTCTTTTTTTTTTATATCAAATTTGAATGAATCTGTATTCTCTCTCTCTCTCTCTCTTTGGATCGCATCATATGCATGTTAACTTGGATCATATCGAACCATCATTTTTCGAATACAAGAGAGAAAAAGGCACACCAAGATCAAGGCACAATATTCTTCGGAGCACTTTTTATCACGAAACCAAGTATTCTGATATCGAGAAGAATGTTTTTCTTTTTTTTTTTTTCTTCTTCTTCTTCTTCTTCGTTTTCGATTATTTATTATTACTTGTAGTAGCAATTATAGAATGAAGCTTATTCGATTTGATTCAAATCTGAAATATAATTGACCGCTTATCTTATTACGCACGATTGAATTAATTCAAGCCTTAAAAAAATATATACGTATATCGAATAGATGTACACACATGAATCGAAGAATCGACGAAACCGTTTCCAATATTTTTTTTTTTTTTTTTTTCATTTTTATAACCGTATTGCATTATTGTATATAGTTCAATATAGTAGTTGTTGTACATAAATAATATAATTTTTCTCACAGCACTTTTCGCTAGTGTAATTTGTTATGCAATGTCAAGTGATTAATCTCGTAGATTATTTATTACCACTTTATTATTACAAATTAAACAGTCTAGTTTTCAACAAATTATACACCATTTCCAGTAGCGAGAAATTATAATTCCTTCTAATATTATAGTTTTTATTATTTTTTAATATTATAGTTATATAGATTAGTAGTAAATAGTTATACACGAGTATATATTTTGTAGATACGAATACAATTATAAAAAAAAAATATATAATTATTATTTATTTTTATAGAAGATAAGATGATTGAAACAAAATATGCTTTTTCAAAGAAAGGGAGAAAAGAAAAAGAAAATTAGAGAATTAATTCGACTTTTCTTTTCGCTCGAAACTTTTCAAACTTTTTTCAAATCGACACTTTGCTGGCTATTGATAGCAACAATAATGCTTTCGCTTTTTTCCCCATTAAAAAGCACTCGACACAACCGTTCGTACCGTGATCCTTTATTAAAATTTACCTGCGCATCGCGTGAAGTGAAAATTTCCTTGGATTACGATGAATATTCATGATGAATATTCTCACGTTAGCCGCGTGTAAATATATCTCTGTTATTAAAAGAGGGTGATGATCAACGTCTCTGCAATTATCTTCCTCGTATAAAATATCCTTTCAAGTTCAACTCGAATTATCGATGATATTTAATTCAGATTAATTCGAATATAATTTTTGAATTTCTTTTCTCAAGATTTTCACGCGCGATTTTCTTTAAAAAAAAAAAAAAAAAAAATTCTTCGGAATAAAGAGAATAATGTCTTGTAAAGCAGGCAGCAGGTTGACGCATTGTGCGCAAACCGTGTCTGACTACAGAGAGACTAATGGCATCTCTCTCCTTCTTGCACACTTTCCATCACTCGTATCATCCATCCTTGCAAAGGAACGATACGAACCGTTATGCACCAATGAACCATATTTTAAATTTTTATTATTTCAAATCTTTCGAATTTCGAAATTCAATAATTTCTAATAATTTTGACTTATCGACTAAACTTTCTATGTTTAATTGTTAAGTTTTTTTTCTTTTTTTTTAATAAAATTCTGTAGAAAACGGATATTGGAAAATTTGAAAATTTCTTTTTCTATATATAATTCAATAATTTCGACTGATCGAGACTTTCTATGTTTAATTGTTAAGTTTCTTTTTTTCTTTTTTTTTAATAAAATTCTGTAGATATTGGAAAATTTGAAAATTTCTTTTTTTATATTTTTTTTTTTTGTCACAGATACAATTGTAAATTTCAATAATTGGCCAAAGAAAAATATTGGAAAATGAGAGTTTTTACGATTCTTCCACTTAATAATTCAATAATTTTTAATAATTTCGACTGATCGAGACTTTCTATGTTATTGTTAAGTTTTTTTTCTTTTTTTTAATAAAATTCTGTAGATATTGGAAAATTTGAAAATTTCTTTGTCACAGATATTTTAAATTGTAAATTTCAATAATTGTTGGCCAAAAATATTGGAAAATGGGAGTTTTCACGATTCTTCCACGTCTTGATAGTTGCATTTCGCGGGTTAAGATTTTTAACAGAGAATTTTTTGTCGATGGAAGATAGAAATGGACACGTGGAAGATAGAAATTTGCAATCCCTTCAGATCCATCTTCAATGGACACCGTGCAGTAATTATTCATACGACATCAGCGTCATGCACCAGCAAAGTGTTAATTCGAAGAAAATTAAGCAATTTATTATTCAAATTTTGGTTCCTACGATTTACCAACCAGTTAAAGCGACGATGACTGTTGATCAGGACGGTAATTAGCACCGTTTTCGTTTCGTTGCGCTTAATAGAAAACCGGAAGTTGTCGATATTATTAATGTATATATATATATATATATTTAATTTAAGCATCTCATAATTTAATAAACAATAGAAGCTTTAGAAAGTGAAAATAGTGCATTAATATTTTATTTTATAATATTTAGAAATATTTAGATAAAATTTGTACAATTCGATACACGGTAGTGAATTTAATAATTTAATAAATTTTTTGATTTGGTAAATTTAGATTTTTGATTCAGAAATTGATTTGCCACTTTTTAGATATTTAGATTTTTTTTTTTTTAGTTTAATTTAATTTAATCGTTGAAGAATTTAATTTTAATCCACCGTTAATGTGAGATTTTTCGGGCATTGTAACATTGGAAATTTTCTGGAACTGAAAACTTTTTTTTAAATCGCGCAAAAATTAATTTATTTCACAGATTTGAGATAGATAAAAGTGCGGAGGCGATTTATGATAAATTGCGTTAAAATTTCGTTCTCTATTGAAAAAATAATCGATTTTTGTATCAGGTAAAGGTAGCACTACTAACAATTCTCGTGAATACAACGGGTAACCAACAAACGAATGCGGTTCCTGAAAATTCTGCCGCATCCACGAATGGTGGCACGCCCAAGGTAATAATAAATAATAAATAATTAACTATAAAAAAAAAAAAAATCTCTTTCTCTTTCTCAAGAAAGATGATACAAAAGTTCAACACTTTTCTAGATAATTTTTTGAGGTTTCAATTAATTATTGATTCACCAAATCTATCTAGAATTCTATCTAAAATTATTTTCCTTTTTTTTTTTCCATTTTGAATTGTAAAAAATTCCAATTCTTTTGCTTAATTTATTATATTGAACTCGTACGTACTTAAACGATAAACAAATAAAGGAGAAAAAAGAAATCACGTATCAGCATATAATTTTCTCTCTTGTAAAAAAAAAGCATACCACTCAAAAGAAAAAAAAAAAAAAAAAATCACATTTCCAAATAATCGATATTCCAATAATCAAATACAACAGCAGCTTACGAGTTTCACACGAACGATTCAATTTGTCAAATTACAATTCCGGGGGAAAAAATATATATTTTTTTTTTTTTTCTAAAATAAAATCTCCCTCGCCATCACGATCATAGCACAATTTTTCTTGATGTCGAATCCTTGAATTTAAAAAAAAAAAAAAAAAAGATCCCTGTTGCAATTTTTTTTATTATCCTCTTCGTCAAAATAATTCAAATCCTTCCACGAAATGAAACGAATCGGTGTACGCACGACCACCGGTTCATTTCTCCTCGTAACCTCGTTCGCATTGTTCGAATCCCCGCCACCTCATTATCAGAGACACCTTGCGCGGAATACGCGCGACAGTCACGAGAGAAAGATGTCCCTACGACGATGTCTAAACGACGAGCGTCGAGCCTCTCTTCCCCTCTCCCCTCCCTCTCAACCGCCACATTTCGCTCCGTTCGTTCCCCTAAAAGGGAAGTATTGCTTCAGAGAAGCGGGGCGGCGGAGGAGCACCGAAAAATGAGAAATTACTTAAAGAGGATGGAGAGGGAGGGCGTACAGAGAGTGAAGATGTTTCTGGTCATCACCGCCGCGTACGGAATCTTTTGGGGACCACTGTTCTTCGTCACCCTGGTGGATCATCCTATCATCGGTAATCCAACCGGTTACGAGGTAAATTTATCCGTTGCTATACTATTTGCGTGAACGGGTGTGTGTGTGTGTGTGTCGATTTGTTATCTATTGAATAGAGAGAGCAAAGAGAGAAAAAAAACTTTCTTATTTATGTATTCTCATTTTATCGTCGGTCGGTAATTAAGATACGAAAGAGCTTACCTACAGGATCTCGTTAATTCAACACTGCGTGAATTAAGGCCACCTTGCCTTCTGATGTATATCGGATTATAAAGATTTTAAATTTTAAATCACCAGTTTGGTCCTCTTTACATTTTACGAGATCTCCAATTCCTTTATTCGTTCGCTCGATACTCTTCTTTTGATTTTTCTATCTCTCTCTCTCTTCCTCAAGACAATCAATTATTCAATGATCCGCAGCAAGTAATAAAATCTTCGGAGCGAAATTCTCGAAAGAGAATATATTTAAATAATATCGCAAACTTTTATTACTTTTATTAACAAATTTTTTTGTTTCATTTTTTTCACGAAATACGCGCCACTTCCTTTTAACCGATCGAACAGAAATTTCTCGAACGGTGCGACGTCGAATTTACGCGAACCGGATGCGCTTTACTTTCTGGCGCGCAATTCGAATTCGAGCTCTCTCTCACCTCTCCCGTATGAAAGCGTTTTCCACGTTTCTTCTTTTTTTTTTTTCACACCAAATATATAGTTACGAGAGAATAAATTCGAAAGATCATAGGAAACGCATTGGCGAACATTTGTCACGAAAGAATTTTAATAAATTTGCAGGTGACTCTACATATCGCGTACATTCACGCATTCGTGAACCCGGTACTCTTCCTCAGCCTACACCGTGGTCTACGTCAAGGTCTTTCGGAATTCTTCTGCGGCTGCTGCGAGGTGATCGCCAGCTGGATCCTGGGTCCAAGCATCCCCGTCGAGAGTACGGTGCAACCGCCACGGTACCAAGAGCCGATCGAGGCGGTCCCTTCGCCCCCCGAACCACCACTGGTTCAGCCTAACGCGTGTCCCGATCTTACGGACGTGGCCCTCCTCAAACCGCCCTTGCCGCCCACCGGCAAACACTTACTGGTACTTGCGAAACAAACGTTCATTCTCTCGAACTTTCCTTCCAACTATATCTTTATCTTTATCTCCGACTGCAAATTGCAAATTGAAAGATCGAAAGCGAAATATGTGGAATGTTTTATTATTGGCTCGTGAGGAATGGCTTTTTAAGTTTAACCTAGCTGTTTAGGCTAATTTTATTATTTTATCAGTTGTCAGTCGAAATTGCATCCTTTCAGCATGAATGGCTGATATCTTGCTAGCTTTTAATTATTTAATCATAAATACAGTAATTGTGAGTTAATTATGAATTGATAATTTGTTTGGACATAAGTTTGATGTTTTATCGATCATGCATAACGAAGAGAGCGTTATAGAAGGTAATTGTCAATGGCACCGAACGTAGGTAACGTAGGCAGAAATTATTAAGGAAATTATTCCTCTTGAAAAAGATCCTGTCCCTGTTCCCATTCGATATCCTTTTCCATAAGAAAAAGAATTCCAAGCTTGATCGAATTATAATTGATCACGTATAATTGCATGATTCTTACAGTTCTATAGCATGCAAAGAAACTCGTAACTCTATGATGTTCGTGATTAATCAAGGTGTCTTTCTCTACACTTTCTGTTTAAGATTAACTAATCGTAATTAATCGCGGAATTAAAACCGTACAGGACGACTCCGTGATCGTACCACCGGATCCATGGATTCTGGTGTCAAGATCGAAAAGCACGTCGAGCATTTACCAAGAAGATGTTAGTAGAAGATCGAGCATATTAATACCCCCACCTCTGAAATTAAGCGACTCGAAAGTGAACGTCAGCCCGACTAGCAGCGATTTGCCTAGCGAATGATCGCCTAGGAGAAAAAAAATGTTCTTGATAGAAAATATTCGTTCGACCAATTGAGCCGTTCTAATAAATTAATTTTAATATACTCTTCCTTATCGATAAATGGTATATTTTAGTATCGTTTATTATTTTATGCGAGATAAGAAATTTATAACATTTATATCGAATCTTATTTTCCAAGATATTTATAATTTCTGACAAAGTTTGTCAAAAAACTTTGTCAAACAAAAAAAAAAAAAAANAAAAAAAAAAAAAGAAAGAAAGAAAGCAAAGAAACTTGTATCAAATGAAATAGCCGAGAGTTTGAAAATGCTCGAACAACTTTCGAAGAGGAAAGAATCGCAGAACGTTCACTTCTCAGTCGGTAAGACAGAGATCTTTATCGGAGATAAAGATTCTCCTCCTCCGAAAAAGAGAAAGATAAAAGCGTTGCCAAAAAAAAAAGAAAAAAAAAAGGTTCTGCGAGGGACCGTCCAAAAGTCTTCAAAAATTGCCAAACCACGAAAAGAAAAAAAAAAAAAGGATAAAAAATACGTAGGGATAATCTTTCGTCGACATTAAGCACGTTTCCATGTAAAACTTCGCTTTCTAGATGACTACTCTATTTAGGTAACGCCAGTTTGAAAAAAAAAATTATAAAAAAAAAGAAAGAGAGAGAGAGATGGAACAAGAGAAAAGAAGGTAGCCATTATTAAAGTAGAAAATACAGGAAATAAAAAAAAAAATCACCAACAAACGTATAGTTCCTTTAATTGTGAATCGAAAAAGGCATTAGCTGCACCAACTAGTGATTAATTAAGCGATTAATTTAGGGGATACGTTAGATAGTCTGCACCTTCGAATGAGCTTTCCACTCAACTGGGGACTCAAAATGAATCGAGTTTTTTGTCTCGATTATTATTACTATTATTATATATTATTTATTATTAATGTTATTATACGGACTTATTATACGGATATATTATACAGACGCGTAGATGCATGTACACGTATACAGGGTGTGCGAGAAATAAGTGCCACGGACTTAAATTTTTTTTTGACAAGTAAAAAGTGAAAGTAAAATTGTTGTAATACAATTTTTATTTAAGTTAATAATATATATAATATATGTAAGAACACGAATTTGTATGTGTTATTGTTCGAAAATGTGTGCCAATAAAATTTAAAAATTAGCATTCTAAGATATTAACGATAATCACAAAAGTGATATATTTTACAAATTATGTAAATGTATGTAAGAAAAATTCAAGAAATTGATATTAATTAGAAAATGGACGAATCAACTAGATTAATAAATTTCTCATAATTTTAACTTTTTTTTAAAAATACTAATTCTTACCATATTATCGATCGATCATTTTTAAAGAATGATAAAATTACTATTTCAAATTAGATTTGATAAAAATTATATTTTTAAAAAAAAAGAAAAAAGACATAAATCCAATAACCATCTTGTATATGTGTATACGCAACTAAATATATGTATACATATACATATATATTTTCTATGTAAAACTTTAGGGATTTCCGGACGTGCGTTCTCTGATTTAATTTATTTGATAAAAAAAAAATACACGTTTTTAATGCTCGAATAATTTTTTAAATTGTGCTTGAAAACAACTATTCTTTTTTTTCCCCAGAACAAGTTTTAATTCTGTCGTAAAAAAAAAAAAAAAAAAAAAAAAAATAAAATATATTTCACAGCGTTCGTTTATCGTAAGATTCAAGCAATTTCTATGGAGAGAAATAATTTAACAAGATAATAAGATGAGAATAAATGGAAAGATCAAGAATCGTATCGTATTTTTAAATTTTGCGTATTTGTATTTCATTTTATAGAAATATTATTATAATCAATTATATCGTATAATTAAATTTTATAGATAATTTTTTTTTCCATTTTTAAACATTACTAATCATACTTTTCTATTTATAATAAATAGTTGAGAGAGATATACTATTTTTTCTTTCTTTAAAAATATTATTAATTTCAACAAATAACAAATATCATCATCCATTATTTTAAAATGATATTTCAAATATATCTTTCTCGAAAATCGATTTTTCTCTATGAAACTTACACACACACACACACGCGCGCGCGCGCGCACACACACACACACACACACACACATCTCGTATAAATCACAAATAAATATATAATTCTACAATGACTCGATATCATCGATATTTTATTATCGATATCAGCAATATTTTCATCCTTATTTCGATCCCCTAATACGTACTGCACGAGCATTATTCAAGAAGCGATTCGAGCAATTGAACGTCATCAATACTGAACGTTTCGCAAGCAAACGGATCGTAAGCAGAATTCATATAATTACCATGCCTCGCGGAGAATCCAAAGATTCATAGATCTACGGATCCAAACTATAATAGCTAGAACGTTTACTAATATTAGTCGAGATCCCCAAATATATACAGTGTCTACAATGGAATATCGATGTTTTCTGCAAATTCATCGGTTTCTATGCGGAGTGATTTTAATAAAAAAAAAAAAAAAAAAAAATAACGGAAAATTGTTTGAAATTGAACGAATTTATTCAAGACAAATGGAGAAAAATAATTTTTCCATTATCGAAAAATAGTATGTATATATATATATATATTTCGCTGTAATACCTGAAATAATACGATTACAAAAATGTACGTATTTATTTAAAAATAAATATCAATTTATAATTTCATGAAACGGATTATTTTTAAACTTGATTTTGTTGAATCGATTTTTCTTTCTATTTCTAACTTATTCACGAAGAAACATGTGACTTTTCTTCTGCATGCATTTATGCGCTTTAATAAATTGCACAAGCTATAATACTATAATGTTATTTTTTCGATTACGCGTATATACAACTGTAATTTGTGTTAAATCAAACCTGAATTAACTGAAATTACTTCGTATATCCAATTATTGTTTCAATCGTATTAATTAGATATTCAATTATCAGAACGATGATTATTTCCTTTTCAAAATTGGAATATTTAAGTATTTATTACGAGACACGAGGAATTCGAAAGAAAAAAGAAGAAAAAAAAAAAAAGAAAATTAAGTCCGGAAAATCCCTGAAACAATGTCAATTTCTCTCGAAAGACTTTTGTAAGGGAAGCGAACTTACGAAATTATGAAAATAAAATAAAATAAAACGATGAGTGTTCGCCAAACGATAGAGTTAAGGATATTAATTTAATTAGGTTTATTGATAAACGGTGCCTGGCAGATCAATAGATATTACACACAAAAAAGATCGTCCGAAAAAAATTGATTGCAATATTTGTATCGCATTGATTATACAACAAACATTATTTGCGTTTATATAATAAATTATGGAATCGATGTTATATATGAGTGTGTAAATAAAGATAGATTATCTTTGACAACGGATATTTTTTTGATTATTTCCTTTCTTTTTTTTTTTTTTTTTTTTAGAGTTCTATTATTTTTGCCGTACGGTAGATTCACGAAATATATAAATAAGAGAAACGTGATCGAATCAAAATGGTAGGAAAATTTCCCAAAATGGAACTAAAGCACTTTTTCGAATCTCTGGATAGAAATGTTATCCTAGTTTCTATGAAAAAGATATCCTGATCTGCAATTATCTACACCTCTCGAGACTTAAATAATGGTAATATAGTATATGAATAAGCTAGACATAATTAATAATTTCGAAAATAATTCAATTTTAAATAATTATCCTAACATAACTTTATAAATGAAAATAATTTTTATAATTTTGTATATTCAAATTATAGCTCTTCTACTACTATGTAGCGTACGGTGTCAGGTTTGTCAACAGAACCGAGATAAGCGATCCTAGCAAACGACCTCTCTGTGCTATCCTGAGAGACTTCTTTCCAGCAATAAACAGTATATTACTCTCGTCTAACAACTTATGATACTAAGGATTCCCTTTGGAACGTTGAAATATGGACAATTGCATAATATTTATCCTCCGTGCGCATAATATTTATTAAGTTACGAATAAAAAGAAAACGATGCAATACCATAAGATGGTAATAAACGAAGGTAAATGGAAAATAAACGAAATAAATGAATAATTTGAATAAAATGTGAAGAGAAAAAAAAGAAATTTGAAAAAAGAGTGTGTAAGTGAAATGAGTGAAACGAATAAAGTAAATATAATATAATAACTTGAACGAAATAAACAAATTGAACAAATTGTATAAATAAAATAAAATAAAGAAATAAATATAAAGAATAAAAAATTATAAATTGAACAAAGTTTTATGCGTTTTAGTTGATAAAATTTAAAAAATTATATGCATATCTTTTAATATTTAATATTTTACTTTTTTATTATATTTCTTTATTATATAGAGAAATATTTCATAAAACTAATTTGTAAAAATAGAAATATTTCATTCAAGAAAAAAAATTCCATTATACAGACGAATCGATAAATCCATTAAAAAAAATCGTGTCAGCGGAGAAACTCATTAAACCATGCAAATTTTACCATTTTCATTTTGTCTTATTTTTATTCAAAATAAGATTAGTCCAGTTATTATAATCATTCAATGTATAAACAAGAAAAAGATAGTTGAAAAAAAATCTATTTAAAAAATTCAGACAAATTGTAATCTTTGTAATCTAAGTAATTTTAAAAAATAATTAATATGTTAAATTACACAAAAAAAAAGCAATATACTCGTATTTTTAAAATCCCTAATTAAATCTCAAGATAAAATATTGCAATATTGCACCAATATAATTGCAATATTTAGAATTTTCTATATTTAACATGAAATAAAAATCATGTCATCGAAGTGTAATGTTAAAAAATGATTATTATTATAAAATAACTTACTTGCTCGAAGCCACCCAAAATTTCCGTAGTGTCCATTGCAGGATTTACGACAAGCGATTTGAGCTTCCGTCCAGTCAAGTTTGCGAGAAGATGAACGAGACTACTTTTCCCAGTTCCAGATCCTCCAACCTATCGTAGAATTAATAACAATATTATACAGTATAATTATAATCAATAAAAAAATAAATAAAATAAAACAGTAAAATATTATTTTTATTTAAAAATTATTATGGTCTCACTTTTTTCCAAAATCTTTACAAAAATTTTCATTTGAAATTATTATTATCATTATCCGTAAAATATACGTAAAAAAGAATAAAATAAAAATAATTTTTAAATCATAATTTGACCAAGGAAATAAGATAAGTTACTTTAAAAAACTTACGAGAATAGACATCCAATTCATGTTAACACATTGTGCAAGTCCTTTAAGAATAATTTTCTGCTCCCTTAGAAGTAGCAAATCATTGTTTTCATAAATCGCAGAATCGTTACGATCCAATACTTCATCTCCTAAAAAAATCTTGTCTTTTGTCAAATAAATTGGAAATTCTGGATCTGGCAAATGCCAATCATTCTGCGAAAATATCCTGTTATATATGTCGATTATCTATAATTTAACAAAAAAAAAAAAAATTAAAATTAATTTTAGATTATTAAAATTAAAAAAATACATAAAATATTAGAAAAAAAAAATTACAGCAATATACATATATTATACAAGAAATGAATTATATAAAATTATATAAAAAAGAATATTTGATATACCAAATATTAAATATATTATACGTTACCTTCTTTTTATCTTCATTTGTTCTCATTCTATTTATATAAATTAACTGAGCACCATTTCCAGGATTGAATATTTTTTCTTTACTTAATTTAAAATTTGCCATCATTATTTCACACCATCTGGTAACATCTCTAAGATTCATTTCCCAAGGTGATCCTGAATGGCCCCAGGTAATTCCAATCTGAGAGCTTAATTCTTCATTAAATTGTATCATCTTATCGAGTAAATCTTCTGATAACTCCGGAAATTGAACATTTAGAATGAACTTTAAATCGCTTTGTTCGAGAGCATCTATAAAAACCTAAACAAAAAATAAAAATTCAAATGAAAAAAATTTCTGATAAATTATATTTCCATACATCTATTATTTCTATTTATTGATCAAGTTTGTTTTTAATATTTTAGCTTTTAATTATAAATATTTCGTATTATGAAAAACAAAATCCTATAATTTCATGCCTTAAAAACATTTATAATAAGATCAATAATACTTAGTTTTAATACAAATAAAAAGGAAGAATGATCGATAACCAATATTCTTAAATATACCGAAACATTAAGAAAAAAAATTGAAAAATCTTTCATCTCTAATCTACATTAATAATTTTCTACATTAATTATTACCTTAAATTTTATACTCAATTTTTTTAATATTATCTTTATTCTATATTCTCTATCTTATTCTACATCTTGATTAACATTAAGAGAAATCATATAATGGATTATAGGGATGAATTATAAAAGAAAAGTACTAACTTTCATTATATGACTTCAGTTGGAAAAAGTAAAAAAAAAAGATTTTTAAAAACAATCCTATTACGGAAAAAAAAGGGAATCATAAAACAGATATTCCAACACATAAAATCTGATAAATCTTAAACCGATGAACTCGATATCATATATATTAATATGCCGCTTTTAGCAGCGAGAATGTATAGCGACATTAGAAGCCGCCTAGTGGCAGTCGTAGTTATTATTGATCCCAATAGCTGATCGTAACGTGAAATTAATTACACATATAAACAATGATCAGAATATATTACAAATTATAAATTTTTTTTATATATTCTGATTTAAAAAAATTTTTTAAAAATTTTTAACAAAAAACTTTATAGCGTGCTAAACAATGTATTATTGTTTTGAACAAAATTTGAAAACACATCTTACTTGTGTAAAACGATTCAAAAATGACTTTGGAAGGCCTCTTCTAGCTCCACCTTGACGAAGAGGATTTTGACAGCCGAATAATCGAGTTCCTGATTTCACAATAAAAGTCATTCCTAATTCTGGAATATAAATTTCACTACGATGATCAAGACAGGCATTTAATCCTTCGAGAACTGACTGGGATGCAAGATTTAATTCATCTAAAAGAATCCAATCTCCATTTTTAAGAGCTCTTAAAAAGGGACCATCCTTCCATGAAAATTCGCCAGGCTTCCCTCCTTCCACTGGTAAATCAGCTCCAAACAAATCCGAAATATCTGTTTGATCACTTAGATTTAATCTAAGAAGATGATGTCCAGATGCTCTAGCAAGTGCAGAAACTAAACTAGTTTTGCCAACTCCTGGACTACCTTCTAATAAGATTGGTTTCCTTAATTGTAAAGCGCGTAAAACTTTTAAAGTATTCATTTTTGTTGTTGGACTTGAAAAAGCAAATTGTATATTGCTTGGAATTTGTTCATTTCCCTTCTTCACGTAAAATGGATGAATTCCAAATTTATCTTTATGGTATTCAATATCAAATTCCTTATAATTTAATATTAATTCAGATTTTAATGTACTTTGTATTTGCTGTTCAATAAATTTCAATGCTGAATCCTTAAAATCTTTTAATTTTGTTGAATTTTCTGCAGCGGTCAAACCAGATCCAAGTCCATCAATATAACTTAAAGCTGCACCATGGAAGAAGGCATCTCCTATTTTTAAATTTTCACAACAATTAACAAAATTGACCCATGTAAGTATATCTCTGACACTAACAACAAGTTTCTTTCCTATTTCCATAGATTGTAACCATTTAATAAACTCTATTATCGCTGTAGAAACACTTTTCTTGAATTCTTTGTGTAAATTATGTTCTATAATGCATTTAAGATCATCCATTGAAACACAACCTTCGCACCAAATTTCCGTAAATCTATTTCTAAGCGCTGGTGAAAGTTCTTTTTTACCGTAATCACCGCCAGGATTCATTGTACCAACAAAAATAAAATTTTCATGAGCAGTGACTGTTGCATTTTCTTCGGACGATGGTTTTTCAGCGATTAAAAGTTTACGTTCAGGTTCTAAAAGAGAGTTCAATCGCTCAAGTACACTATCATCCGCTAAAGAAATTTCATCTATCAAAAAAAAGCCTCCAGTTTTCATAGATTTTACTAAAGGACCATCAACCCATTCAAACAATTTCTGATTTTCTCCATGTTCTCTAACTGGACGAAGACTTCCAAGAAAATCTGAAGCTTCTGTATGCATATGACAATTGACAATACTAAGTTCCTGTTGTCTAATTACAGACAATAGTTGACAAACTGTAGTTTTGCCACCCCCTGTTTCACCAATTAGAAGAATTGGCTCTTTGAAATCACAGGCTTTTGAAAGAAGTACTGCCATTTTACGCATTTGATATGTCCAAACTAAATGTTCAAATCCTGGGATCTTTTTTGACAAAAGAGATTCCAAAATTGGTTTAGTAACGGTAGAAGTTTTTTCGGAAAGTGAAAATAGAGCATCTGGATCAACATCTCTTCTTAAATGTTTCTTTAACACTTGTATGATTTCTAAACATTCATCAGGATGACGAACTTTTGAAGAAAGAACTAAATATCCTTCATCAGCTAAATGTTGACTCCAATCATACAAAGTGCCTCCAGTATCGGGTGCGAGATGATATCTTTCAGCCCAACGAAACAAATCTCTAAGAGTTATAAAACCCTTTTTTCCAGCAAAAGTTGCAGTACTCTTTCTTCGTACTTGAAGTTCTGTCATTACATTAATTACTTGTTTACAATACGTTTCTGGCATTTTACATCTTTTATGCAAAATTACTTGAAGTTCTTTAGATGGAATTTCATCAAAATGTAACTCAACAAATCTATTTCGAAATGCACGTGATAACATTTTTCTTCCACCATATAAACCTGGAGGATTTTGAGTAGCAAATAACATGAAATTATTATGTGCTTTTACAACTTGTTGAGTTTCAGGAATAAACAATTCTCTATTATCATCAAGAACTCGGTTCAAAGCTTCTAAAACATCGCTAGGTGCTAAATTTAATTCATCCAAAATTATCCAATATCCTTTTCGCATAGCATCTACTAGAATACCTTCTTTAAAGACCAATTTTCCAGTAGAATCAGCTATATAAGTACCAACATATTCTTGCAAATCAGTGTGTTCATGATTATTAATTCTAACACAGACATGTCCAGAAGCTTTTGCCAAATATGTAATCAAACTAGTTTTTCCAACAGAAGTGTCACCTTGCAATAGTACAGGTATTTTACCTATTGATACTACTCGTACTAAGTCCTTTAAATTTTGTTTGACTGTTTCTGTAAGAATATAATTTTCTGGAATTTGTGGATCAAGGTCACCTTTAGGAATCCAATAGCCTTCAAAGCAGATAAAATTATCAGCAAAACCATGTGGTCTTGGAATTGGAATTCCAATAATAGCACTCGCATTTTTATCTCCTAAAATAGCTTTAACTATCATTTTTAGTACTATTGGATAAGAATTACTATCTAATTGTGTTAGAAAACTTAAACAAAATGCCTCATATAAAGATCTCACTGCATTTGCACAAGGATTTTGTGCAGATACATTTAAAGCACGACACAAAGTTCTCAAACTATAATGTGGTTTATGTCCAGTTCCATCAAGAAGAGTAGTTTCTGCTTCTTTTCTGACATTTAAGTAAAATTTGACAATGCTTTCAATTTTTCCTGATGAAAGATTTAAATCATTCAAATATGAACTTATTAAAAGTTGTAAATCTGACTTCTCTATAAGTTCATCGACAAAAAATTCTGTAAATCTATTTCTCAATCCTACTGGCAAATCTTTTTTACCAACATCTGTTGCAGGATTCATACAAGCAAATATTGCAAAATCTTTATGTCTTTTTATAGGTTCTTTATCTCCACGCTCTAATAAAGATAGAGATCCACAAGATCCTTCCAATAAACCAGAAAGACATTCCAATGTTTCTGCAGTAGCCAAATTAATTTCATCTAATAAAACCCAATCTCCATTCTTTAATGCTTTTATTAAACTACCTTCTACAAAAGAAAATGCTAAGGAATATTGACTTTGCACTTGAGATTGAAGTTTTTCTAATTTCTGTGCTATTTTTTCCCATTTCTTTAAAATTTCTACTTCATCTTGATTTTTCATAGATGCTCTCAATCTTCTTAAAGCAGCATTAGTGCTATGAATCATTAAAGTAGTCAATGTCTTCCATTTTCTTTCTTCAAAGCAATATCCGATATGATTCAAAAATTTTAGATTTGGTTCAATTGCAAAATATGATCGAAATAAAATTTCAAATTCTTCACGAATTGGAAGGATCAAAAGTTTAAGATCTACTGGTTTATAACCACCAAGTAAATCTGTACTTTCACTTTGTTGATTCATATTTATTACTATTAATTTATGGCCTGTTATTTGCGCAAGATATTGTACACAACTTGTTTTGCCTGTTCCAGTCTCTCCAACTAAAAGAACTGGTTCTTTTTGAATAATACAACTAGCTATTCGTTCTAAAAGACAAACAGATGGTCTTGTATAAGAAAAATTTGAATTTTTTGATTCTAATTTAACCTTGTCAGATTTTTTTATTTCTAACTTTGCTCTACCAACAATGAGACATTTTTCGTGAACATTTACAGATGGTTTATGTATTTCAGCAAAAAATTCAGCTTTTGTTTTTACAATACCTAATTTATGTGCTACTGCTATTGCCAAATTTAAACGTTGTACAGAATTTGACATAGAACAACAAAAAACATCTAAAGCATCTTGGAAGATCTTCAATGCCGAACTAGGTGAAGATACATCAAAATCAATAATAGCTCTGGAACACCACTTAATCAAATCCCTAGTAGAGATTTGTCTAGAATTCTTCATATTATTCATTTCAATTTCATCTTCATGATTTCCAACAGAAAATAATAAAAATACATCAACAATTCTTGTAGCTACTGTATGTAATACTGGAAATAAAGTTTGAACTATTGTCACAAGTTCCTTTTTTGATAAAGATTCTACATTAACACAAGACCATTCTTTCTGTATTGGCATTTGAAGTGATTTTTGTGTTCCTCCAGAAATCAATCTTCTTGTAACAAACAATTGAAATCCACTTTTTATGTGTATTAAATCTCTGTAACCAGGAACTGATAATGTTTTAGTTTCTACAAGTTGTCCAATTACACTAAGAACATCTGAAGCAGCACAATCAATATCTTCCAAAAGTAGCCATTTGCCAGATAACACAGCTTCAGTCAATATCCCTGGTTGCCATAAAAATTCTCCAGGAATATCAGTACATCTGTACATTCCCAATAACATTTTAGAATCTGTTTGATCACCTAATTGTACTTTTGCAAAATTTTGTGTATCATGGCCAGTAGCATGCGCTAAAAATTCTACTAATGCAGTCTTTCCTGAACCAACTGCACCTTGTAAACATACACAATTATTTGAAGATATTGCAAAAGCCAAGTTCTGCAAATTTTGTCGTGTAGATGGTACAGGAACTAGATTTAAATCATTTTTACATTTAGATTTTTTAAATACTGGAAGTAATATTCCTCCAATAGATACTACTGAAGGTACGTCAAAAATTTGATCTATTTCTTTGGTATCTTCAAATGTTATATTATTTTTATTAATTTCTTTACTTTCAATAGAGAATTGTTGAATTTTTGAAAGAAAATCATTTGCATGAGCTAAATAGCAAGATTCCGACATTCCTAACACAACAGCAATACAATTTATTGCTATCCTGAAAAATAATTAAAAATTATTTTTATATATTCCTTTTATAAACATTTATTGTCTAAACTTAATCATTTATTATTATTTAATTTTATATAACTTACCATCTAACACCTTCATCTTCATGAATTAAATATTTATAAAATTTAGACCAATTCCATATGTACTTAAAATGCATTGAAGCACTACATAGAATATCATAACAAGCAGTTACTAAATCATAATCAGATACTTCTATAAAAGATATTATTTTTCGTTTATTACGTCGCTTTGAAGATGGACTATAATCAACTTCTATAGATTCAAATGGAGCTGGATTTAATTCAAAATAATGTAGAACAAATCTGTAATAAAATAATATCAATTTATTTTTTTTATTATCCAAATATATTTTATATTAATTTCATAAATTTTTATATATTTCTATATTTAATCAATATTCTTTAATAATATATTTAATCATTTAAATATTTAAATTACTTGTTTGAACTGCATTGATAATATTGCTAAGAAAACACACAAAATATTATATTATAAAAAGCTTTAATTTTTTCCAAATATATTTTACATTCATTACATATTTTAAGAATAAATAATTTTAAATTCAAGTAATAAAAAAAGTCTAATAAACTGCAAAGTATTGGAAAATTATTATTTGTATCCTTGTATGAATTTCTCCAATATTCTTCAATATTCAACCTAAAATATTGTGGAACACAGAAAAATTATAATGTTAAATAAAATACTATTTCATATAAAATAAACTTACTTAAAAATATGAGAAGATTACTAATGATAATAATTTCGCATATTAATATAAAAAAATACATTATACAATAGAAAAATATAAATATAAAATATAAAATATTACAATAGAATTATAAAAATATACATACATTAACAGATCTTGATTTTTGCAAAGTAATTTTCCTAAAATGACAGAATTTAATTTATGAAGTGAATCTCCATCATCAAAAGAAATTTTTTCCATTGAAATACTTGTAGAGATTAATATAGGCAATAATTGTGGAAAACATTCAGCAACATCTTCTGTAGATTTTGGATTCATTAAGAGTTCACACAAAATATCTAAAATTCTTTTGTATTCATCTTTGTTTGGTTCCTATAATATAATTACATCATATTATGTATAACAATTTTAAATTAATAAAGATAATGTATAAACTAATACAACACATTTTTGAAAATGTTATATTGTTCAATAAATTATTTCAATGTATATATAAGTTAAATATATAAATCTAAATAATAAATAATATAAATAAAATAAAGGAAATTTTCTATTTTTTTATAAATTTTCATATGTAATTTATATATTATACTCATTCATTAAACATAATAATTTTTATTAAATTCATCAAAAAGATATACATGTGGAAATTAAAAATATCGTTTTCTTTTAATATATTATAATTAAATAAAAATAATATTAAAAAAACTTATTATTAGAAATAATAATATATAAAAAAAAAATCTAAATAAAATTTATAGAATAAAAAATAGTAATAACAGAAAAAAATAAAAATAAAGAAAATATTAATACGATGTTTACAAACTAAAAGAATATATTTAAAATATTTAAAAAAAAATTTTCATGCTTACTTTATCAATCTCAAAAGACGCAAATTTCTCAGCATAATTTTTCTTTTTCTTAATAAAAGTTGTCAAACTTTGTAAAAACATCTTTGAAAATATACAAAATTACATGTGCAATTCTGGATAAATATTGAAATCAATGAGTAAATAACCACGTGTTTTTGACGGCACGAACTGAAGTTAGTTCTTAAGGATTACAATACTTATTGCGCAAAAAATCTCTAGAGTATTTTTGTACTAAATACTATATCGATTTGACAAGTTGGCTAATAAAAGTAAAATCAATTAATATTTGCATTAAAAATACGATTTTATTAAAAAAGAAAAATAAATGAATTTACATTACATATTTTACATATTTTATGAATTTATATATTTTTAAAAAAAGGAAAATCATGCTATCATTCAACTTTTTTTATACAAATTCGAAATGTTCTAATAACATCAAAATTTAAATTAAGTAAATTTAAGTAAATTTAAATAAAATAATCATTTTATTATACGCATAATTTTTTATTTATTATTTGTATATCCATTTACATTATCAATTCAAAATTAAATTTATAGAAAATAATTTTACTTACAAAATTTTGAATTTCTTGAAACAAATAAACAAAAATTTTTTTACATGTTGCAATACAAAATATATAAATTGAAATTACATTTTATATAAAAATATTATATGCTTAGTATAGATTTATATAACATAATTGATTATTATTAGAAATAATAACATATAAAAAAAAATCTAAGTAAAATTTATAATATTAAATTAAAAAATCTCGGGATGTGAATTAAGTTCATTTTGTAGTCTTCTTTCAATAGTAAGTAAAGAAAAATTATTAACCTGAACATTAAAACTGATATAAACAGGCATTGAAAGTTTTTTTGAAAGTCTTTTAGCAAGATTACTCGAACAATCATTGACAATTGATCCCATTATCTTTGTTGTAAGTGGTTCCTTTTCATACGGTGATTTAATTGCAAAAGATAAATCATTCATAGCATTTTCATTACAATTACCCACCCACACATAAAGAGAATCTTCCATTTTAATCATATGACAAACAATTGACAAGTCACCAACTTCCGTCATAAATTCATGAAATTTCAAACCGCATTTGCTTTTTACCATTTCTTCTGATTGATTTTCCATATTTTCTTCAGACTATCGTTCAATTGTTATTCAGTACTTTTGTTATTCAGTAATCTTAAAATTTGCTGGTCTAAATCAATATTCTTGTAGAACGTAACCTCAAAGTATAAAATTATATTTACCAATAATAAATGATATTTTATGATGTTATGCGATATATATTGTATGAAATATAAGATATATATTTCTAATTTATTTTGAATTTTTTTTTTAAACTAGAAGATAAACAAGATTAACTTTCAAAATTAGATTAGACACAAAGTACAATATAATTATATACAGAAACCGTTTTCTTGAGCGCGTAAATTTTGCAGAGCAAGTTTAGATAGAGCAAATGAAAGATAAGAGAAAGATAGAAATAGTATAGGATATGATTATCAGTACCATCTTTTGAGTATTAAAGACATCTTTTCAACAATAGAAAATAGAATAAAAATTAAAAATTATGACTACTTTTT